GTCCCCCTTCGGCGTTCCAACCACACAGTTTCTTTAAGATGAAAGAGCAAGGATCAGGAGACCCCCCACCCCCCATCCCCCCACCCCCCCCATCCTCCCACCTTCCTCCCTTCACCTCCTCATTAGCAGCATAATCTTGTAATGTTCGATCTCACTTCCGTCTGATCTCGTGTTTTATCTTATAGTCTTTGTTTTTGGATTTCTGTCTCTGTGTCTATATCTGTCTGCTTGTTTCTCTGTCTGTTTGTCTCTGTCCCTTTCTCTCCCCCTCTCCTCTCTCTCTCTCTCTCTCTCTCTCTGCCTCTCTCTCTCTCTCTCTCTCTCTCTCTTTCTCTCTCTCTCTCTCTCTCTCTCTCTCTCTCTCTCTCTCTTCCCCCTCTCCCCCTCTCCCCCCCTCTCTCTCTCCTTCGCTAACCTATCCGGAGATAGACAATAATGAGTATAATTCCAAGGACAGAACAAAGGATAGGAACGATACCAAAGCCAGGAACAAAGGGATTAAGACGATTGATGATGACTTAAGCCCCGCCTGAGGATTCGCACGAGGCGCAGTCTGTTTCTGTTGAGAGAAGAAAGAAGAACACGCACACGCGCGTACGCACACACACACACATATATACATAGTTGTACACATAGTTATTTAGGTAAAGATAATTGTAATATTTATAATACGAATAATAATAATAACAATAACAATAGTAATAATGATAAGAACAACAAGAGTAATATTAATAATAATATTGATAATGATAATGATGAGGATACTAATAGCAATAGCAATAACAATAATAATAATAATGATAAAAAAATAATGATAATAATGATAATAATAATAATAATAATAATAATAATAATAATAATAATAATAATAATAGAAATAACAATAATGATAATGATAATAACGATAATAACAACAATAATCATGATATCAATTACAATTATAATAATAATGCTAGTGATAATGACAATATCAATGATAGTGATAATGATAATAATAATGATAAAAGTAATAATAATATAACTATTATGATATGCATTATAATGATAATGATAACAAAATAATAATGATAATGATAACAAAATTATAATGATAATAAAAATAACAATAATTATAAGATAATAGTAATAACAATGATAATGTTGATGCTGATGCTAATAATAATAATAATAATAATAATAATAATAATCTTGAGCAAGCAAACATATTACCATCATAAAATGATGTGAAAAATTGCAAGAAACGCTTGACATCACTGGCTGTTGCATGGATTGACTACCGCAAAGCATATGACATGGTGCCCCACAATTGGATAGAGAAGTGTATGTATATATTTGGAGTAGCAGTGAATCTCAGGTGCTTCATAAACGAATCAATGAAACGCTGGAACACAAAGCTGAATGCGGGTCAAGATAGACTTGGAAATGTGAAAATAAAGCGAGGATTTTTCAGGGGGATAGCCTATCCCCACTCCTGTTTGTAATGACAGTGATCCCATTGACACTGATGCTGAGGACGACATACATTTCCTATGACGTCAAGAAGAAAGGCGAGAGAATCAACCACTTACTGTTCATGGATGATCTGAAACTGTTTGCGAAAAATAAGGATCAAATAGACAGTTTAGTAAATACAGTAAGAATATTCTCAGAAGACATCAACATGGAGTTTGGATTATCAAAATGTGGCGTGTTAATCATGAAAAGAGGAAAGATAGTTGAAAGTGATGGCCTGTGCATTCCACATGATAAAATGATGAGAAATATTGAGGAAAGTGAATACAAGTATCTTGGTATTTTGGAGGCGGATGGGATTAAACATGATGAGAGGAAAGAACACTTGACGAGAGAATACACCAGAAGAGTCAGAAACGTACTGAAATCAAAGCTAAACGGAGAGACATAATTTCAGCCATCAATTCGAGAGCGGTTTCATCGTCAGATATGGGACGGGGATCATAAAGTGGACAAAGAATTAATTGGAAGAAGCTGGATTTGGAAATTACAGTTGGAATGTTACAAAAACCTTGTTTACTTGGAACAGCAGGAATAATTCGAAAAGTACTGGATATGAAGTGAAAAGTGAAAGAGAAAGAAGCTACAATACCTAAGACCAATGGTTGTGGTCCGCTATTGCAGCTCATTTGCCAAGATATAATAAGATCAGTCTTGAGAGTACCAGAAATAACAATAATAATAATGATAATAATAATAATGATAATAGTAGTAGTAATAGATAATAATAATATTAATGATGATAATAACATTAATGGTAATATTAATGATGATAATAACATTAATGGTAATAATAATGATGATAATGATAATAGTAATGAAGATATTAGTTAACTGACATACAAACAGACAAACATCGATGAGACAGACAGAGAAACAGACATACGGACAGACAGAGAAAGAGAGCCACTGCTATAGACAGTGACACTAATTACTAGAGACACAACTCCTGCGGCGCAGTGCCAGACACATGGCACGGTGGCAGTGCCAGCCGGTGCCTCGGAGCCAAACTTTGTGAAATAAAATGCTTCCAAACGTGAATTATTCAGGCGGGAATATTTGCAATTTTCCAACACTCTTGCATTATTCACTTGCGAGAGATCTGCAACAGGAGGACTATTTTATATATACATGTATATGCTCGTTCATGTTCTCGCTGTCTTTCTGTCTGCGTCTGGCTCAGGGTCCTCGTCTCTCACTCTCACTCTCTCTCTCTTTCTTTCTATCTATTTATTTCTGCCTTTGTTTCAATATCTCTAAGTCTGCCTGCCTCTCTCTCTCTCTCTCTCCTACGATCATTATTATCATTACTATTATCAGCATCACTGTTATTATTGTTCTTATTATAATCATAATTATTATCATTACTATCTTATTGTTGTTATTTTCATCATTATTATTACTATTATTATACACATTCTCATTCCTCCGAGGCTCATAAACCGTTAACATCTAAAAAAGGACAGACATAACGAAAACAAAAGAGAAAAGAGGAAAAGAAATTAAATAAATTTCAGTTTAAATAAGTTTCAGGTTAATCAAGTTAACAATTAATTGATTTGGAATTGAGTTTGGAAGCTGAAGGCGTTGAAGAAGAGGAGGATATATATATATACATATATATATATATATATATATATATATATATATATATATATATATATATATATATATATATATGTATTATATATATATACACACACATATATGTGTGTGTG